ATGTTAACCAACTGCATTTTGTATTACGCTGTTTCCTTGTTCCTGCTCAAGATACCTTATAAAAACTGACTGTTCTTCCACGCCCAGTGTAGATTTTTAGATAATGATGCCCAATTCATAAATTGCAAATAAAAGCCAATTAGATCATTTAACAACATCTCAAATTTATTTTTTTTCACAGATATAAATATCAAGGGTTACTTCCCTCTAGAAAAGCCCACAGCTCATCAGCTCAAGCAAGTTAATGAACAAGGAACTGGCTACAGCTAGGAAACCTGATCCAGCTACTTAAATCCAGGGGAAGAGAGTTATGTAGATTTATTCCAGCTATGATAGGGTTGGTCTAAAGAACACATCCTCCCTTGAATAAAGTCATAGCACTATTAAAAGTTAAGGGAAGAAAGTAGGCTAGGGAGTATTCAAAGCGAAAAATCAAAGGAAACAATTCTATTCCACCTGAATTCAGACTTCCCAAATTCTTCTGTCAACTAGGTATGGTATCAATACTTCATGTCATTATTTCCGCCTGATAAGGATAGTCCACAGAAACTACCAACCTATTCTCCCTTGCGGCTTAGTAGAGGTACAAGGAGGCCCAAAAACTGCCTGTATCCAGCTGAGCATGGGCTGGGCAGTAAATCTCTCAGACATGAATGCTATGCAGAGCAGCCCCTTCACACACTCCTGCTAGTAAGAAAACATTGCAAAGTTACAGTCTGCTAGGCTTTAAACTACTTTCAAAAACCACTGAAAATATATTCCCTACACACTCCTTCCAGATATGACAGAAGTAGAAGTATACTTTTATCTTCAGTATTATTAGCTGGATTTTCTATTTCAGGTTTTTACCAAGTTCCACTCATCAAAAATTATTAGAAGGTGCAGGGTTTCCTGTTTTTAAAGAGGGAAATTTTGAAGAGGGAAAATGTACAGCTACATGTGTATGAAACAGAAATGCAACAATCCTATGTGTAATCAGTTCTCTCCAAAATCAGATAAAATGGGGAACTATGTATTATCCTGATGCTTTCAAAGAATGTATTATAAAGTTCCATTGTACTGTCTTTAGAGATGCATGCTTATATTTTTAAAAATCACTATGGATATGTAAATTCATATGCCGTAAGACTGTCTTAAAGCCTAAAATTTTTAGTAGATTCACAAAGTAGTGCAATCATCACCACTATCTAATTCTAGAACATTTTCATCATTCCAAAAAGAAATTTGTATCTATTAGTTCTCACTTTGTATTCTCCACCTCCAACCCTAGCCCCTGGCAACCGCTAATCTTTTTCTCTATCGATTTGCCTATTCTGGACATGTCATACAAATGGATTAGTACAATGTGTGCACTTCTGTGACTGGCTTCTTTAACTGAGCATAATGTTTTCAAGATTCATGCATGTTGCAGCATGTATCAGTACTTCCCTCATTCCTATTACTGCCAAGTATTATTCCACTGAATGACTATTAAGATTGTGCTTATCCAGTCATGAGTTAATGGACATTTGGGTTTTACAATTTTTAACAATTACGAATAATGCTGTAAATACACACAAATTTTTATATGAACATGTTTCCAATCCTCTTGAGTATATATCTAGGAGATTTGCTGGTCATATCCTCTGTGTTTATTAAATGAGGAATGGCCAAACCGTTTCTCAAAGCAGCTGCACCAGTTTGCAGTCCTATCAGCAACTTACAGATGTTCCAGTGGCTCCACATCCTCAGCAACACTTGTTACTGTTTGTTTCTGATTAAAGCAATCCTAGTGGGCATGAAGTGTTATCTCATTGTGGTTTTGATTTACATTTCCCTAATGGCTAATGATATTAAGCATCTTTTCACATCCTTAGTGGCCATTTGTATATCTTCTTTGGATAAATGTCCATTCAAATCCTTGGCTCAATTATAAATTGGGTTGTTTTTTCATTAAGTTGCAGGAGTTCTGGATACAAGTCACAGTGTATTTTTAAGTTAAAGGAAAATCTGTTGATATAATAACTTCTTATATACTACATTAACTTTAAAAATATATTCAAGTTAGAATATATTTTTTATTAAGTACATCAAAATTTCACCTTAAATTTGAAAACTGCATAGAAATTTAAAGTGCTAAAGCAATCATTGTTTTTTCAAATAAATGAATTTGAAGCCAAAGAGTGGAGAGTGTGGGGATCCATTGGGTAGGACATTTGAGATCTATGTAATGTAGAAATACTTGAATCCTGACTTGAATTAGAAAAAAAAAAAAGGCACAACTTGAACACTGCTGGATAGTTATTAACACTAACAAACTGTTAACAGTTAAGTCTAATAACAGAATTCTGGTTTTATTTAACAGTCCTTATCTTTTAGACATACATATTGAAATATTTACAAATGAAATGATTCACTATCTGGGATTTGCTTCAAAATAAATAGGGGTTCAAAGATGAATGGCATTTAGATAAATCAAGAATGAACTGATCATGTTAAAATGAGTTCATTACGCAATTCTCCTTTTACATGTATCTTACATACCCCATTAAAATTTTTAAAAAGCACTCACTCCAGTGTCTCCTCGGTATAAGAACACAGGCGGCTGGCAGCAACTGAACGGTATCAACTAAATTTTTATAAATTCAAAGAGTCATTAATTCTCAGTTATCTCAAAAGTAAAATCTCTGGGAAACTTAATATTAAGACAGTAACTATCTGCACACAGTAATGTGTATAAAATTTAATTACCACCACCAGTCACAGGCTAGTCGAGCAGCTGTATCAACCATGGTACAAACAGTAACAGAGCAAAAGCACCAGTCATCAGCACCACTCTTCACTGACACATTTCTTCTCACCAGAGATCACTGAGGGACTGGAACCCCCATCGGAAGTATTATTACTACCCTCACTGACTACAGAAAATACTACCTTCAAGAGAGTACGTGTCTACAGTAACTAATTTTACAGCAATCCCTCAGGCCACTTGAAACTCACTCAAATTGCACATCCAATCAATACATGAGTTGGGATGCCTAGGCGTAACTTACACACATAAAATATATACCCACCAGAATGGCTGTCATCAGAAAGACAACAAGTATTGGCAAGGATGTGGAGACACTGCAGCCCGCATGCACCTGGCAGGAATAGCTCTAAAAGTACAGTCAGTTTGGAAAAAGTTTAGCAGTTTTTTAAAACGTTAAATATAAATTTACCACACAACCTGACAATTCCACAACTAGGAATCTGAGATGAAAACATGTCCACACAAAGACGTATTTATGAATCTTCATAGCATTGTTATTCACAATTTTAAAATAGGCCAGTCAAATGTCTATCAACTGGTGAATGGATAAACAAAATGTTGTATATCCAAACAGTGAACACTAAATCAGCAACTAAAGGAACTACACGCAGGTGTAAGCTACAACATGGATGAACCTCAAAAACATGCTAAGTGAAAGATGCCAGATATAAAAGACTAACTGCATGATTCTAACTCTGTGAAATTTCTAGAAAGGGTAAATCTGTACAGAAAGCAGATCAGTGTGGCTGCCTGGGGCTGGAGGTAGGAGTGAATTAACTGCAGAGCAGCATGAGTAACTTTTGGGGGCTGATGGAAATGTTCTAAAACTGGATTGTACAATTCCTAAGTTTACTAAAACCAATTAATTGTACATTTACAATCGGTGAATTTTACAGTGTGTAAATTATACAAAGCAATTTTTTAAGTACCATTGTAACAAAGTCTTAGAAATCACTATTTTAAAGCTCTGGCTCAAAGCTCATTCATTTGATATATTCAACACAACAAACTCTAATATACTACTAGGATTAAGAATATTAGCATTTCCTTGAAAACTAAACACACTACTTTCAAAGGATTCCAAGTACACCCATCTCTAAATCTTACTGATTAAACATTGCTCTTTTAGCTATAAGTCATGTGACAAAATCACTGTTAACGATTGAATTAGCATTGTCCCTTAGCCATTTCATTAATTTGTCTTCCCCCAACCTTGTGCCCTATGGTATTTCTTTTTGTAAGAATCTCTTGCTTGCTATTGGATATTGCCCAAGTTTTCCATCAGATATAAGGTTTTCTCAGAATATTTCATAACCGGAAATAAAATTGTAATACTCATATGAACATGTATTTGAATACATATATACTTTTTAAATATAAAAGGAATATGTTCCTTTTAGTTTGTTTGCTCATTAAGCCACTTACATGATGCCCCTAAGTTTCAAACACTTCACTGTTTCCCATCAGGCTTTGCTTTTACGACGTGGGTTCAAAATTCTTCTTTTCAAAGCAGTGCTGCCTTCAGTGACCAAGCTGGCATGATTTTTAGTCAGACGCCATTTCTTTCCATTCCTCTGACAGATATGCCAAAGAGGTAATAGTCCCTCTAAAGCCAATCATTAAAAAAAAAAAATTTTTAACTATTTTTCCCCAAACCAAATCAAATATGAAACACTAACAGCCTACAACAGATAAAAGTCGAACACCACAAAGGAAGTGGGAAGGGGCCTGCCTGCTGTGGCCCTACCTCATGAAGGACAGCAACCCCAAGTTATAGCTTCAAGACCAATGCTCGAAAGTATTACAAACTACATTATGATTTCTGCACAGCACAACGGCAAAAACTTAAACTGAAAACAATCATGAAGCACTTGTAAGTAAATAGAAACTGGGGCTATACTTAAAAACACTTCAAATCTCAATTTAAAAAATGGACAACTATAACATGATTCCCTTTAAATAATTTCCCTTTAAAACTCCATAAAGACATTACTTATTAAGAATTCCACTAACTACAAAGGCTGTGCATCTTTCATCATAACTTCCTTATTTGTGACAGATTTTTAAAAATTAACCAAAGGAAAATAAAAAAACACATTAATAGGAAACATTGACCCTAGTGGAAAGTTGTCAAATAAATGAGTTGGTGAGCAAGAAATGCTACTTACTAACAGGTAGGAAAGAAAATGAGATAGCAAGAATGCTCTGATAAAATCATTTATGTAACTGTATTATGAGTTTGAAAAAATAGCACTATTTGCCTCCAGAAATCAGGTACAAATAAAGCAAATATTTAAGAAAAATGGCAACAAATTAGCAAAGATAAACCTGGAAAAGGGCATTTGTACTATTAGGAATTTTCTCATTTATCTTAACTACGAAATACACACCCCTTTCCCTCAGAAATCAAAGATAAAGGTGTCATGATAAATAACTTCACCACAGTTCTATGAAATAAAAATAGAAATTATTGCTATATTATGATTGTAAAAATGGAGGCAATAAAGAGTTCAGAAATATACTCATTTATAATCAATTAAATGATGAGTCATAATTTGAACCCTAATTATCACATTATGTAGAAATCACAATTCAGGTTTTGTGTCCTCATTTATACGTTAAATAGTTCACATTTAAAAAACATTTTATCATTACATTATCAAATTTGATAAAATCTTACGAAAACATCTAAGTATTCAATATAAATCATATTGTTAAAAGGTAACATTTAAAGAAAACTACTGAGGTGCCAGATAAGTATTTTCTGTTAAATATACACAATTTAACATTTAGAACTACATAAATTAATTCTTGCTAAAAGTTGATTCAGTTTTACAAAGGCATACTTTGTGAACCATGGTAAATTTCCCCAGCACCACTTTCTTTTTATTCCAAAACTCCTTTGATTAGGTTTAACTTTCTCCTGTCATTCATATGTGAAAATTACAGAAGGTTTACAATACGTAGTCTTAATAGTAACATGTTTAAAAACCTAAGCAAAGTGTACATTAAGTTAGCTACTACTACTCACTTCTTATCATCAAATAAAAAATAGACACTTCATTCAAGTCTGAGGAAAAAATAGTGTACCTTGCTTAAATAAGAATTCCCCAGTAAAGATATTATGTAAAAGATTTCTCATGTTATTTTGTTGAGTAAATTTACTTTCTCTCGCTAAAACTTTTAAAAGTCTAAGGAAGGACATGTACTTATAATGCCATATTACACAAGTACAGTATTGTTAATAAAGCAGCCCAGTATCGTTGTAAACATTTTAAATGTAGTAAACAAGACTTGACATGTCTTTTCTCCCCAAAACATGCCATTACAATGCTCTTTCCATGAATAATTATTCTTCCTGGAAAAGTTTTCAGGGATATTTTTAATCTATAAAAAAAATACACTGAAATATGTGAAGATTTAGTCATGGCAATTTCACTGAAGCTTTTATTGCCTCTGTTGGTAATATAACAGGGACTGTAAGAAACACAATCGAACTTACAGAGATATGCAGATGATATTCACTAAAGATAATCTTCATCTCAAGTATTTTTTATATGTGGGCACTTCTAATTTTATACATTTTTCTATTTAAAAAGCATTACATTTTAAAATGTGTACCTGTTTTGACATTTGGCAAAAAGGAAACTGTACCTATGGTTCAGTTTAAAACAAAGAATCAGCATGGGGAGTTTACCGGAATGAGGACTGAAACGCTTAGGAGTTAAAGCAATTCAAGGGGTGTGTGTCTCTCTCTCCCTTCCTCTGTCAATCTCTCTCTCTCTCTGGCTCTCTCGCAGACACAGACTCAAACACACACAGCCATATGTGTCATCATTTTTTAGTACAAAATATTCCCTGTAACCAGACATTTATCTTCAGAATAATCACACCACATTAAATCAGTCTTCTCTTTTCAGCCCTAGTAAAAATTTTGTTTAATTCTAAGATGCCATCATAGTGAACAACCTTAACTTTTATGCTACATAATTATATTCAAAGCTTTATGTATTTTTGTTTATAATTACACAGTAATTATAAATGTTTAGTACCAACCTGATGACAAACACTATTTTGTTGAAAAGGTTTTGCATTTAAAAAGAAAAATATGTAAAATCCAAGGCACTAGGCCACAAACCAATATCAGACTTTTAAAGAAAACACTTTATATTGGGGGAAAAAAAAAAAAAAGCTAATGGGATCTCATTTCAAAACACAGCATATGTGAATTAATCAATGTGAAACCAATAACCATAACTCAAAATGTTCAAGACAGGAAACAAAACAGTACATATATATAGATATATATATATATATCTTTTAAAAATTTTTCATAATTGAAGTTCTTTATATTTACAAAAAATGAAATCAGGAAATACTGAAAGCAGCAGGATTCTTTTTCCTTTTTCTTTTAATAACCAATTACAGTAGCCTGAATAGAAATTTCAAATTTTTCTTTTGGTAAAACTGCATTCTTGAATTAAAGTTATGATTGGAATATTAATATGTTTATAGGGAAAGCTTTCTAGTCTATTTCAAAATCATGTAAATAAAAGTAGTTTTGATATGTCATTGTTTCTTAAAATAATTTCCATATTTGCATAAAATGTACTGCTATTCTAAAGTACATTCCTTTGTTAATATCAACCCTAGAACCTTAGAGAGTGCCTGGATGTATATCCCAAGCAGAATGTATTCCTATCAAAAGACCATAATCATCTGACATTTGAAGTTTACATTTCTAGCCTGCCTTACAGAAATGTTTAAGAAAGCAAGAAACCCTTCTTCACATGTCAGTAAGGGAACAGGGAAATGACCATTTTCAGCATAAAAGCAGCTCATGGGTCTTGTAATGAAAAAAATACATACAAGATAGCATTCTGCTTTGATGAGAAAACTAAGCTAATCTGAGTGAAACAAAAACAGTAGAGAGACTAGAAGCCAGATTGGTATTTTGCATCGTGTATGCTTGTTTGAAAATCTTCGCTCCTGAAGTAAGTATTTGGCAACCACAGTGATTAGCAGTTAAAGCAATTTCAACAAAATAATAAGTCATCGAAAATGGACTATTTGTCTGAAAGAGCAGTACCTATATTATAAAGATTGAACTTCATGGCTCATTACAACCATTTTCAAAATTTAACTGCAACTATCTTCTTATAAATTAAGAGAATTTCATTTGTGTTCCATAGTGCGATGACAAAAAAAAAAGTAAAAACAAAACAAAAAAACCCTCATGCCTAAATTTAGAATATTGTATTGTGTAGCAATCCAAAACATTCAAAACAAATTAAATAGTTTAACTTATGTGACAGGCAGATAAGCATTTCAAAAGCATAATGAAGTCCAATTATGTAGTGCATAATGTAGACAGGAGAAGAATCTAACATTATGCAGACATTTTCTAAATAAAAGCTCCCTGTAGGACAGCTATATATAAACATGGGTAAGGTAAGCGCAGACAAGTTCTGTGGAACCTTTTGAAATCAAGAGTCTAAAACACAATACATTTTTCAGGTAGGCACCAAGTTATCCTAAAAAATTTTCATGTTGGTTATTCTGACATTGTTTTTTCATCAGATACTCACATCAACAACACATGTGATTTGCCAGGAAAAAAAAATTCCCCCCAAACCAAAACACCATTCCAGATCCAGTACACTTAAATATATCACTCTCATTGGAAGTGCTATTAGCATAGTCTTTGCAACTAGCCCAAAGCGTATATTTAAGAAGTTTTTATAAATTGTTTTGTGATGTTCATATGTTTAATTCTTATGCCAACTGTTTTCTGATGAAGACAGCATTGTGCTTTATGCGAGAATGAAAACCTCAAAATAATCACCATAAAGCTTCTAAGACTTATGGGAGAATAAACTAGGATGGTCCACAGATATAAGATGAAATCCACAATGTTGGAATTATAAATGTTTAGAGCGGCCCAGACTAGAAGACAAGCCCAAACCACCATTAGAAGAATGAAATACGATATGGTCCAAGATGTATCCTTAAAGTTTTGTCTCAACCCTCAGTCTGAATTGTGAGGATTGATCTTCAGTTCAGTCCAGCCAGCAGAAATTGACTGTGCAATTTTCTGTTGTATTTATTGTACAGACTATGTACATTCTAGAAGGTTCCTTTAGTGCTACACTGTTGTACTTTTTGTCCCAGCAATTTGAGGGCGTGCAAATTCCACAAAGTCATCAATAAGAACAGGCCATGCTCCTGGAAAAAAGAAAAAATATGAAAGAAAGAGAAGGGAGAAAAAGAAGAAATAAGACTAATATTTCAGCAGAATCCTTTTTTTAAGACTTCCTCATAAGTGTTAAAGTATATCATTCTTATCTATTCCCACTGATTAAGTCTTTCAAAACTCAAACTTTTTGGAGTTTTTACCCCAAATATTCCTTGTATTCCTTGTGATTACTCCCAACATCTGGTTGTTCCTTGAGTGATAAAAACAACTTGTCTGGTAACTAATCAATAATATGATTTTCTGAAGGCCACTGAAGTCAGGCAATGGAAGTAATTTGGTCAAAACTGGCAGACTGAAGCAGGAGAATGGCGTGAACCCGGGAGGCGGAGCTTGCAGTGAGCCAAGATCGCGCGACTGCACTCCAGCCTGGGCAAAAAGCGAGACTCCCTCTTAAAAAAAAAAAAAAACTGGCAGCCTAAGGAGGGGCTATGATATGACAGCATGCTGCCAGTGCTGAAGGCATAGGAGGAGAAACAAGTTTTCAAGCATTCTGTGGCCATCTCACAAAGGAAATTAACAGGAAGTGTCAAATTCCATCCTATTTCATGCTAATACATTACTAAGAGGTGTAAAATTCAATATATGCATGCCTCTACACATTCACATGCCCATCTCCAACTCAGAAAGCTCTCCATTTTTGTGTAAAACGTAACAGAAGACACAATTATTAGGTATACGCATGATTCAACATTTCTCACTTTGGAGGGAAGATTATAAACGACAATGAAAATGAAGAAAAGAAATAACATCATCCCTGATTAGCCTTAATGATTCCAGGACACTTTTAAAGACACCAAGATCACAGGGGGTTTTTCAAAAAAAATCTCCATCCTGCATCCTGCCAATTCTCAAGTGGACTAGGGAAATATGTATGAAGAAATCAATGTAAATCACTGCCACATATAGAAAAATACAAGTCCACATCCTAGTAGTGGATGGTAGCGCCATCTTTATACATTTATGAAGAAATAGCAGAAAAGTATTCAGTGACTATTTACTGAATGCCAACAGTACTATATTAGGCACTTGAAGTAAGTTTCAACAAAAAAATAGGCCGGGCGCAGTGGCTCATGCGTGTAATCCCAGCACTTTGGGAGACCGAGGCGGGTGGACAATAAGGTCAGCAGTTTGACATCAGCCTGGCCAACATGGTGAAACCCCATCTCTACTAAAAATACAAAAAATTAGCTGGGCGTAGTGGCAGGCACCTGTAATCCCAGCTACTTGGGAAGCTGAGGCAGGAGAATCGCTTGAACCCAGAAGGCATAGGTTGCAGTGAGCTGAGACTGCGCCGCTGCACTCCAGCCTGGGCAACAGAGCAAGACTCCATCTCAAAAAAAAAAAAAAGTCACTGAACTTAAGGAGTTTACAATCAAGCTTACACAGAAGACTAACAGATGAAAAAGAGATAGAAATAGGTACAAAAGCACATCAAGTAAAAAGGTTCCTAAAGTAAACTGAAAACCTAAAACATGGATGAAAATCACTCACGCCTTTCTGGAAGACATGAATGCTGAGTTGGAATTGAAGGAAACAGAAAAATATAGATTGGTAAATGTATGAAGGTATTTCATACATTCAGAAGAGCATTAAAAAAAGCCTGGAGCTGGGCACAGTGGCTCATGCCTATAATCCCAACACTTTGGGAGGCCAAGGCAGGAGGACTGCTTGAGGCCAGGAGTACAAGACAGTAAGACCCCTACTTCTATAAAATGTTAAGAAATTAGTCAGGCACTGTGGCGCATGCCTGTAGTCCTAGCTACTTGGGAGGCTGAGGCAGGAGGACTGCTGAGCCCAGGAGTTTGAAGACTTGCAATAAGCCATGCTCGCACCAGTGCACCCACCCTGGGCAACAGTGAGACTCTATCTCAAAAAAAAAATCATAACAAAAGCTCAGAGGAGGGAATTCCAACTCCGAGAAAAACAAAAGTACTGAAGAAGTTCAGGGGTATGTGATAAAAAGACAGGTCAAAAAAAATTGGTGTGGAAAAAAATTTCATTACCTTCTTCATCATAATTAGACATGTCATCTGCAATCATTGTACTGAAGTCTAAAAGAAGATTCCAAGTGTCTTTTGGTATTGATCGTTTATGATGTTCCTATTTAAAAAACAAAAACAAAATACATTTGTATCACTAAAATGAGCTGGACAAAAACAGTTTGGAAAATTTTAAATACAAGAATGCAAAACAACTGTGTAACAAAATTCTGGTAATCAAATTTCTCATTCTATATTCAATACATTATGTTAATTTATCTTTAAACATAGCAGAATTTTAGAGAAAATAGAGAGAAATGCAGAAAATGTGAACTTACCAACAAAAATTTATTCCATAAGTCTAAGAATTTAAATCTTCCATTAAGCACTAAGTTCCAGTAGGCAATGGCCATTTCTAGATCTGAAATATTAAAAAAGAATTATGTGTTTAAATGCTATACATATTTGTCCCTGCAAAAATCACAAATAAAAGGTAAGACCAAAGAAAGTCTAAAAATAAAAAACTTGTATCCTGAATAGTTTTGTATTAAAAATTTCCTATACAAATGAGTCCAAAGTTTATATCCTCCTCCTTCAAAAATGACCAGGGCCTTTAGGGCAAAAAGTGATACTACTTATTTCACAGGGGAATTCTGTATTTTAAATTAGATAATGCAGTTAAACATAGTAGCTCACAAAAGTGTTCAAATATTAGTTACTGTACACCAGGATTTCTCAACCTGGGTACTTCCAACATTTTAGGCCAGATAATTATCTGTTGTAGGGGTGCTGTCCTGTGTACTGTAGGAAACTTAGCAATCTATCTGACCTCCACTCACTAGCTGCCAGTAGCAGCTTCACTCAACCCGCCACTGGTGACAATCAAAAATGTCTCCATATATTGCCAAAGACCACCTGAGGGGCAACCCAGCTGAGAACCCCTGAGGTACACCTACAGGTTGGAATGTGAAGGACTGCTCTTCAATCCTAAGTAACCTTATGCTCTAAATTGTTTACTGACTGATCCTGACCACAAAGAGACCATTAAAAATACTCATCTAAAACTTAAAATTAATAAGAAACTAAGAATTACTTAAAGTTTGCCAAAGACAATATAAATGACTTTTTAATTGGGCATGGAGCAGAGAAGGGTAGAGAAGGCAATAATGCCGCATGACAAAGGACTAACTACACTGATCACACGACAGAGAACTACACTTATCACATGACAGAGAACTATGATCTCTTTCAAGGAACCATAGTAGTTAAGAAAGTATCTAGTTTTTATGACTGAATTTACTCCTTCAGCACAAGAAAAATTACATCCTAAGTAACTTAAAAGTCCTTTTATTGATAGATGACATCTCAAAACCATTTTTTTTTCCTAAGTCGGAGTCGCTCTGTCGCCCAGGCTGGAGTGCAGTGGCACGATCTCGGCTCACTGCAAGCTCCGCCTCCCGGGTTCCCGCCATTCTCCTGCCTCAGCCTCCCCAGTAGCTGGGACTACAGGCGCCCACCACCACGCCCGGCTAATTTTTTGTATTTTTAGTGGAGACAGGGTTTCAATGTGTTAGCCAGGATGGTCTCGATCTCCTGATCTCGTGATCCGCCCGCCTCGGCCTCCCAAGTGCTGGGATTACAGGTGTGAGCCATCGCACCTGGCCAAAATCATTCTTTATAATTGAGAAACCATGAGAGATTAAGAAAGACAAAAATTGGGGCAAGTGTTGCCCCAATTTTTAAAAGCAACAAAGAGCCGGGCACAGTGGCTCACACCTGTAATCCCAGCACTTTGGGAGGCCAAGTCAGGCAGATCACAAGGTAAGGAGTTTAAGACCAGCCTGGCCAACATTGTGAAACCCCATCTCTACCAAAAATACAAAACTTAGCTGGGCATAGTGGCGGGCACCTGTAATTCCAGCTACTCGCGAGGCTGAGGCAATAGAATCGCTTGAAACCGTAAGATGGAGGTTGCACTGAGCCAAGATCACACCACTCCACTCCAGTCTGGGCAAGAAAAGCAAAACTCCGTCTCAAAAGAAAAAAAAGAACAAAGAGTAGGCCAGGCGCAGTGACTCTCACCTGTAATCCTAGCACTTTGGGAGGCCAAGGCGGGCAGATTACTTGAGGTCAGGAGTTCAAAACAGGCCTGGCCAACATGGTGAAACCCTGTCTCTACTAAAAATACAAAAAAATTAGCTGGGTGTGGTAGCGGGCGCCTGTAATCCCAACTACTTGGGAGGCTGAGACAGGAGAATTTCTTGAACCTGGGAGGTGGAGGTTGCAGTGAGCCAAGATCACACCACTGCACTCCACCCTGGGTGACAGAACAAGACTCTGTCTCAAAAACAAACAAAAAAGAGCGAACTTATGCTAATTCGCTGTCAAAAATGGATGATTTGTAAGAAATCAATTATAGGCTCCATGCAGTGGCACATGCCTATAATCCCATCACTCTGGGAAGCTGAAGAGGGAAGACTGCTTGAGGTCAGGAGTTCAAGACCAGCCTGGGCAACATAGCAAGACCCCAGAAAAAATTTAAAAATTAGCCGCTCGTGGTGGTATATGCCTGTATTCCCAGCTACTCTAGGAAGCTGAAGCAGGAGAATCCTTTGAGCCCAGGAGATCAAGGCTGCAGTAAGCTATGATCATGCCACCACACTCCAGCCTGGGTGACAGGTGAGGTCTCTTAAAAACAGACAACACAACATAAAAAACAATACCTACCCCCCCACCCCCACATACACACATAGTAGCTGGAAACCTGCAAGACTGATCCTTAACTTTCTTCAATGATGGAGACTACATATTCCTCAACTAGCAGACTGAAATACACAGTAGGCATTCAGAAACTGTTAAGTGGACAAACTTCCTACGGTTTCACATACAAACGTACTTACCTTCAAATCCATCATCATCTTCCTTCCAACTCAACAGAAGAAACTCTCCTTTCTTCTATCCAAGGATAAGCCCCTTACACCTCTATCCTAAATCCAATACCATCCTGCCTCTTCAAGGAATCTTGTCTGTTGATTCACTTTCCCCCCTTCTCTACATCTCCAACTTTACCTTGTTCTCTGGCATTTTGAACTCCATCAAGAAACAGAAACATATCTTTTTTTTTTTTTTTTTTTTTTTTTTTGAGATGGAGTCTCGCTGTGTCGCCAGGCTGGAGTGCTGTGGCGCAATCTCGGTTCACTGCAGCCTACAACTCCCCGGTTCAAGCGATTCTGCTTCAGCCTCCTGAGTAGCTGGGATTATAGGCGCACACACTACCACGCCCTGCTAATTTTTGTATTTTTAGTAGAGATGGAGTTTCACTATGTTGGCCAGTATGGTCTTGATCTCCCAACCTTGTGATCTGCCCACCTCGGTCTACCAAAGTGCTGGGATTACAGGCATGAGCCACCGCACTCGGCCAAGTTATCACTTATCTTTTAAAAATCTTTTTTGGATCTTTTTTTTTTGGTCAATCAAAATAGGTTTATTTATTTATTTTTATTATTGTTATTATTTGAGACAGTCTTGCTCTGTAGCTCTCTTGGATCTCTTATCACCTTTACTGGCTATACCCTTTTTCTCCTTCCCTTCACAGGTAATACTGAAATAGCACTCAGAATCTCCTACTTTTATACATAATTTGTTTGAAAATCAAATTCTGACGCCCATGTTTTAAGAGAACTAAAACATGCATAATACCGGCTGGGCGCAGTGGCTCACAGATGTAATCCCAGCACTTTGGGAGGCAGAGGTGGGCGAATCACCTGAGGTCAGGAGCTCGAGACCAGCCTGGCCAACATGGCAAAACCCCATCTCTACTAAAAATGCAAAAAAATTGGCCGGCATTATGGTGGGCACTTGTAATCCCAGCTACTCGAGAGGCTGAGGCAGGAGAATCACTTGAACCCAGGAGGCAAAGGATGCAGTGAGCCGAGATGGCCCCATTGCACTCCAGCCTGGGTGACAAGAACAAAACTACATCTCAAAAAAAAAAAAAAAAAAAAAAAACCTAACACCTATTTCTAATGGCACTTCCCTTTTAATCTTTGCAATCTGTAAAATCTGTAAAGCCAATATTCCTTCCAGGTTGTTCAATTCTGTTCTTTACCAACTCAATGTAAAATTATCTGGCTTAAGTGCCAAAAATGTTCAGTTGAGACTAAATATTTGCTGTTATTAGTGTGCTTAATTCACTTCACTTTAAATGCTTTAAATTTATGAGAACTAAGCGTACTGCTAGTGTATTTTTTTCCTTTTCAACTAATTTGTATAAAATTAGGATGACAATGAAATACTCAAATAAGTATTAACCATGTGGCACCTATAAATGCCGATATGTCAAGCTGATATACCAAAATAAGAATCTGACAAAAGTAAAAGTTCAGGTTGTAATCCTGAACATAGTGAGACTTGGTCTCTACTAAAAATCAAAAAAACCAGCCGAGCATGGTGGTACATGCCTGCAGTCCTAGCTACTCGAAAGGCTGAGGCAGGAGGATCGACGGAGCCCAGCAGGTTGAGGTTGCAGTAGGTCATGTTGTGCCACTGCACTCCAGTCTGGGTGACAGAGAGACCCTGTCTCCAAAAAACACACACACACGAAACAAAGAAAGTTCAGGTTGTAAAAGAAGGGAATTTTTTTTTTTTTTTGAGATGGAGTTTCATTCTTGTTGCCCAGGCTGGCACAATCTCTGCTTACTGCAACCTCTGCCTCCCGGATTCAAGTGATACTCCTGCCTCAGCTTCCCAAGTAGCTGGGATTACAGGCATGCACCACCACGCCCAGTTAATTTTTTATTTTTAGTAAAGACAGGATTTCTCCATGTTGGTCAGGATGGTCTCGAACTTCTGACCTCAGGTGATCCGCCCACCTCGGCCTCTCAAAGTGCTGGGATTACAGGTGTGAGCCACCGCGCCTGGTCAAAAGAAGGGAATTTCTTACAGTCTACATTCATTGCCCTGTTTGCCCATTTCCCACACATTCTAATCCTGTTAACCAATGTCTAACCTGTCATCCACCCCAATGAAATTAAAACTCTGAAGGGTCATCAGACCCTCCGGTTACTAAATGAATACTCTTATGTCCTAGAGAACTGAGCATACCTCCTGATAGAACTGTCACTTCCTTCAGCTTCAATGATAAGCACTCTACTGATTTTCCTCCATTCAATCTAGGCTTCTCACTTTCTTTTCCAGGGGCTCCTCTTCCTCCATTCATCCATTAAATGTTGGTGTTTTTTAACAATATGTGTCAACAATAACCACTTTTCTAATCTCCCTCAGATTCTCAAACCTGTATCATTTTTCATGTTATACATTCAACCACCCCTAACAGCTCCTAAATCTGAAACCTATCTCTATATTCTAGACTCAGATATCTAACTGCCTGAAGACATCTTCAACTTGGTATCCGCGAACAAC